GTCTGTATGTCGCGGACTGTCGGATGTTTCACGTCATGCCTGGATATAGGTAATTTCTTCCCTCTTTGTGCGGGATATCGGTAACTGCTTTTACTCTGGAGATTCATGTTTCTCGGTTCTGGGGGGAAATTATTTCTCTAAGCTTCATTCCCACCATCTTCTGTTTTTGCTTTTCCCCCCTTGGAATTCCTGTTAGTCTTAATTTATCCTATCACCCACCTTATCTTTTCATTCTTTCAAACAGATTTTCTCCACTTTCCACCTTCTTGCTAATTTAATTTTGCCTATCACATTTCCATTCTAAGATACCATTTTAATTTTTTTTTATTTTTTTTGAGGTGGAGTCTCACTGAGTCTGAGTGATACCCAGGCTGGTGTCAGTGGCGGGATCTCGGCTCACTGCAGCCTCCGCCTCCCAGGTTCAAGTGATTCTTGTGCCTCAACCTCCCAAGTAGTTGGGATTACAGGTGCACGCCACCACACTTGCCTAATTTTTGTATTATTAATAGAGATGGAGTTTTGTCATGTTAGCCAGGCTGGTCTCGAATTCCTGATTTCAAGTGATAGCCCGCCTGGGCCTCCCAAAGTGTTGGGATTACAGGCGTGAGCCACTGCACCTGGCCCATCGTTATTTTTGAGTTTCCTTTTTAAAACAATGTTCTGGGCTTCACATGGCACATGACTGCCTCTCACCTCTCAGGCACCTGAGCTTGCCTTTCCCCCCCTTGGTTGACTCACGCCTCCCTCCTGTGTGTCTTCATGTGTGTGACTCTGGGTCATGGATTTTCCTCCTAGCCTTTACCTGTGTCTGTGAGACAGAGTCTCACTCTGTCACCCAGGCTGGAGTGCAGTGGCGCGATCTTGGCTCACTGCAACCTCCGCCTCCCAGCTTCAAGCTCTGTTACCCAGGCTGGAGTGTAGTGGCGCGATCTTGGCTCACTGCAACCTCCGCCTCCCAGGTTCAAGCCATTCTCCTGTCTCAGCCTCCCGAGTAGCTGGGATTATAGGCATGCACCACCACAACCGGCTAATTTTTGCATTTTTAGTAGAGATGGGGTTTCACTATGTTGGCCAGGCTGGTCTCGAACCTCTGACCTCAGGTGTTCCACCCACCTCAGCCTCCCAAAGTGCTGGAATCACAGGCATGAGCCACTGCGCCCGGCCCTAACCTTTACCTGTTAACCGGCAATTCCATACAGCTTACTGTGGTTAGGGACATATTTAGTTTTGTTTCCATCATCTTAATTTGCCCAGTTTGTTTCTGATTTTTTTTTTTTTGAGAGAGGGTCTCACTCTGTTGCCCAGGCTGGAGTGTAGTGGCGTGACTACGACTCACTGCAGTCTCGAGCTCCCAGGCTCAGGTGATCCTCCCACCTCAGCCTCCTGGGTGGTTGGAACTACAGGCATACACCACCATGCCCAGCTTTTTGTATTTTTTTGTAGAGACAGGTTCTCCCTATGTTGCCCCGGCTGGTTTCGAACTCCTAGGCTTAAGCAATCCACCCACCTCGGCCTCCAAAGTGCTGGGATTACAGGTGTGAGCCACAGCGCTGAGGCCCAGCCTGATTTTTCTTTTCTTATTTTTTAATTGACAGAAGTTTGTGTTCGTTTCATTTATTTATTTTATGGGATCTCACTGTGTTGTCCAGTCTGGAGTACAGCAGCACAATCATAGCTCACTGCTGCCTCAAACTCCTGGTCTGAGGATCCAAACTGAGATCCTCCTGCCTCAGTCTCCCAAGCAGCTGGGACTACATTTTAAATTACATTTTAAATTATTCTTTTTATTGGATTAGAGATGTATAGACTGGTTACACTCTTTTAGTAATTAACATTAAATTACGCTATGCACATTTAACTTATCAAAGTCAAATTAAACACTGTCTTACACCCGCTTCCCAACAACAGGAGGGTCTTAGAACATTTCTGTCCCTTCCAATTTACATGCTATTGTTGTCCAGAATTTTAGTTGACATTATTCTTTTATACATACATATATATTCATAATTTTGCTTGCCATTCCATCTTATATTTAAGACCATCACTCAGATCATTTTCCTTTTTTTTTTTAAGATGGAGTTTTGCTCTTTTTACCCAGGCTGGGGTGCAATGGTGTGATCTCGGCTCACTGCAGCCTCCCAGGTTCAAGGGATTCTCCTGCCTTAGCCTCCTGAGTAGCTGGGATTACAGGTATGGGCCACCAGGCCCAGCTAATTTTGTACTTTTAGTAGAAATGGGGTTTTGCCATGTTGGCTAGGATAGTCTCAAACTTCTGACCTCAGGTGATCCACTGCCTCAGCCTGCCAAAGTGCTGGGCTTACAGGCGTGAGCCACCGTGCCCAGCACTACGTTGCCTAGGCTGGTCTTGAACTCCTGGGCTCAAGTGATCCTCCCTCCTAGGCCGCCCAAAGTGTTGGGATATAGGCATGAGCCACTGCGTCTAGCCTATTTTTCATTTCCAAAAGTTCTTTAAGAAGTCCTGCCTCTTCACAGGTGACGATATGTATCCTATAGCTTTCTCATCACCATCACTGCGCCTCACACATAACTGTCCTCTCACCTGTATGATGACAGTTTCAGGGTCTGCCTTTCTTTGTGGCTGACGGCAGCTGCCTGCTGTTGCTGTTGGCCCTCAGTCAGCTGACTCTCCTTGTGTGCTTGCGGATCTTTGACTGCAAGCTGAATGGCTGACTTACGAGCAGGGATGAGGCTAAGCTGGGTAAACTTCCTTCAGAGAGCAGGTGCTTTGACCTCTACTGGCACCTGGAAGGTCACCTTCAGCTGGCCTGAGGGTCTTGGCTCAGCACGGGAGACACAGGCTCATCTTCCCACCTCACCACTGGCCCAGGAGTCAGGAGCTTAATGAACTGTGGGGCCACCACATCCACTCTGAGAGCACCCCTGCCCCTACAGGCTGCACAACCCTAAGCTCATGCATTTTAACGAAATGGGTGCCAACAAGAGCCCTCAAAGCGACTGTCTCGGAAGTGGCAGCCAGCTCAGGACCCAGAATTATTCCCAATCAGTCCTTACCTGGGGCAGAGAACTGCAGGAGGTGGTCCCAAGCCACAGCCAGACCAGGATGGGTGAATCCTGCAACCACGCCCCAGGGCTCACGGCCAGCGGGCGGCTCACATTGCCCTCAGTCATCCCAAGAAACTCAAAACCCACCTGGCTTAATTCATGGTGACAGCGCTTTACTATACGCACCCAAAACGTTCCCCAGAGACGACACCACTGTTCTATCTCGGAAATAACATTTTAAAACATGAAAATATTTTACAGGAAATAACATTTGTACATACTCATAAGTCTCAAAGACAATACGATTCCTCTACCCACAGAACGCTTCTGACATCACGTGGCTGTGAGCCTTTCCCTCCATACCAACCAGCTCTCCAACTCTCAGACACCAACGAGATGTCCTTCGATTTAACTCGATTCTGACACCAACTGCCCGGAGTTAGTGCAGAACCCACAGGGTAAGGGGTCAGTCCCACAAGACCACCCCCACTTCAGATGCCAAGTGCAGACAGTGGGCCCTGGGGTCCCCATGACCCCCTTCTCAGGTTCCATAATTTTTTGTTTGTTTGTTTTTTGAGATGGAGTCTCGCTCTGTCGCCCAGGCTGGAGTGCAGTGGCGAAATCTCAGCTCACTGCAGCCTCCGCCTCCCGGGTTCAAGCGATTCTTCTGCCCCAGGCTCCCGAGCAGCTGGGATTACAGGCGCGCGCCACCACGCCCGGCTAATTTTTGTATTTTTAGTAGAGACAGGGTTTCACCATGTTGGTCAGGATGGTCTCGATCTCTTGACTGCGTGATCCGCCTGCCTCGACCTCCCGAAGTGCTGGGATTACAAGCAGGAGCCACCGCGCCCGGCCAAGTTCCATAATTTTCTAAGCACACAGAACTCGGGACCATAGCAACCAGCTGTGAAAAGGCGTTGAAAGACATGGATGAACTGCTTGCCAGCAAGGTACGGGGGGAGGGCGTGAGGCCCCCTTCCTAACTGCACCCCCCCCCCCACCCCGCCTTGACCAACCTGGCTGCGTAGGAATGACCCATTCAATCACCAGCCACTACACCCCAGCAGATGAGACCTTCGCTGCAGCTGACCGCGGGAGGGGAGGCGTCTCAGCAGCGGGCGGCAGGCCCGGGACAGACCCCTGAGACCTCCCCGCCTCTGGGAATTACCTCCCATGGGCAGCGCTCACCTTCGCCGAGCCCTGTCTCTCCTGACTGCTCCTGAGCCAAGGCAGATGCAAGCTGGGCGAGGCTTCTGCAGCCCGAGAACCACGCGAGCAGCCGGTTGTTACTTCCTCACCGTGCATGGTGCGGACAGGACTCACCCGGCCTCGGCCTTACGCCCACCAGGCCGCTGGCATCTCTTCAGCGGCAGCCCCGCTCACTCGGCGCCGTGCACCCGCTGGTGCTGGATGAGGTGGAAGCTCAGGCGAAAGGCGCGGC